TGCCTGATTCTTTCTCACTAAGTCCACGTACGAATTGTGTTTCTGCATACATATATATATATATATGTCGATTGTGCGGTTAACGATTCAGCATCTTTTTGCTGGAATGATAGAACTTTTTGAGCTTTGTCGTAGTTATACATAGTTGGTAGTACTGTAGATACATTGTATCACTTCGAGGTAAACAGTTGGTCAATGCATGGGCTGCCCGTGCGAAGATGCGTTTTTTGCATAGCTCCCCGCAGATTTTTGTCGCTTACGGCAATGTTTTTCCCAGCAGATGCTTATAGCCAAAAGAATTTCAGGCTGGCCGTAGGACTGTCAGGAAACATCCCTTCAAAATTGCAGTCTTCTAGCTTCTCAAGTTCCCCAGTTAGCAACTTACCCCCAAAAAAAAATTTTACAGGCCCATACGTGGGCATGACTCATATCCGGGGGCTGGGTTCGAGCTCATTAATACCAACATGGATGAGGGACATCCCCTTAAAATTATAGGCTTCTAACTTTTCAGTTTCCCGAGATAGCAGCTTACCCGAAAAAAATTTTGGCGGGCCCGTACTTGGGTACCGCGCATACCCGGGGTCTGGGTTTGAACTCAATGAGACCTAGGTGGACGGGAAATATCCTCTTAAAATTACAGTCTTCTAGCTTTTCAAATTCTTGAGTTAGCAACTTTTGGCGGGCCCGTATGTGGGTATTACGCATACCTGGGGGCTGGGTATGAGCTCATTTAGATTTACGCGGGTGTTCCCCGCCCACATCTGGCTCCGCAGATTTAAATTTAGCCTCCCCGTACCCGCGAGTAACGCGTACAGCCCTGTAAAAGTTTTGGCAGGTAAAATTATCACAGGAACCATGGAAGCTAGAAGGCTGAAGTTTTGTAAACATGTCCCCTATTCACATGTGACCCAGAAAATTTAAATCCTGCCTTCCTCTGCCCGCGAGTAACACGTACGGTCGCATGAAAAGTTTTGGCGGGGAAATTATTATCTCAAGAACCACGGAATCTAGGAAGCTGAAATTTTTAGGTAATGACCCCTTGCCCATGTACGGCCTTGCAAATTTAAACGTACAACTCCGCAAATTTTCAATGTCCCCCTACAACTCCAACGTACAAGTTTTGGCGGGGAAATTATTATCTCGGGAACCACGGATTTAAACGTACAACTCCGCAAATTTTCAACGTCCCCGTGAAAGTTTTGACGAGAAAAATCATTATCTTGGGAGCCAGAAGAATTAGGGGCTAAAAATTTTAGGCGAATGTTTCTTTCCTAAGCAGGGGCTTAACAAACTCGAATTAAGTTCCTAAGTATGCCGAATTCTCGCGTACGACCACGTGAAAATTTTGTTTCAAAGATCATTCGAAAGTCAGGAAATTGGGAGACTGAAATTTTGGAAGGATATTCACCCTTCGAGGTTTCAGTTTCCGCTTTCACGTGCCGATGCGTGAAATTTCAACATTTTACCTATATTTGCACAGACGAAAGTACAAAGCAGTGGGAATCATTAACTGGCAATCGTCCGATGGATGGGATTGCACATAACGCATGATCGTACCGGCACATTCAAACGCCTTAAAAAATGAACCTTGAAAAAAGTAAACAAATTTCACTCGCAGATGACTGACTTTTTAAAACACAGATAATTTTTCGCTTTTTTGCATATGCTGTTTTAGGTCCAGCAAACTGGTGTGTTATTTCTTATTATGAGTTCAGTACAAAAGTGGGAGAAACGTTTGCTGTAAACACGCCAGCTGTTTTTGTTGACGGTGGTGTTGATCCATCTGCACCTCATCGTTTTTGTCTTGGATCAATTTCGAATGTTCAGCGTAATATTGACAGTGAACGTTGCAGGTTTGCTTTCGTAAAGTTAGTCACCTCAGACAAATGTACTTTATTAGTAAGTTTTTTTTTCTGCTATTTAAAAGGCTGTTTTTGGATAAATTCGTTGTCTCTATCTGCTGGATCCTTCAAAGCAGTGCGGGAAAGCACTGAAATATGCATGCATTTTTATTTCTCTTGAACTTATTGATAATAAAAATGTGCTTCACTGCGGTCGTTATATCGTAGCTGTTAAAGGAAGCATATTGGTCGTGGAATTCGGTTGGATGTGAAAGGTGAGGGTGACGTTTGGTTGACTTGTTTGTCGAACCGAGCAGTTTTTGTACAGAGCTCTTATCTTGATCGAGAAGCCGGCCGAGAACCTGGCGATGCCATACACAAAATATATTCGCAAGCAACATTGAAGGTTTCTAATACAGAATTAGTATATTCGGCTTGTCTTCTGTCTGCAGCATATTTCTTTCGACTGATATTTGTATTAGTAAAAAAAAAGGAATTTGTTTCTCCTGATATCGATGACTTCATTTATTTCACCTTTGCCATCCTAGGTTTTCGACTTGCGTCAGTGTTACAGTCAGCTGCGACTGCATAATATGTACCAGTTAGTGGCCACGGAAATGCTGAATAATCCAGCAGGGAATTCTAAAAATCCATTGTTTGCATTGAACAGAGGAAACGCTGAATTTACTGGTTGCCTCACTCAGGTCTTTTTTTCTGCTGTTTTTTCTGTAAATCCTTCATTCTGATTTAGTAAAGAGAAATTTTCTGGTTCATTAGCATCAAAAAAAAAAAAAAAACAAACAAAACAAAAAATTATTAAATTCTGTCCCTTTCTATTTTCAGGTAGCAAACATTGGTGTAGATGAATTACGTAGCCTGTGTTCTTTGGCTGTATCATTTGTGAAGGGTTGGGGGCCTGATTACGATCGTAAAACAATTACGGAAACACCTTGTTGGATTGAAGTGCAAATAAACAGGGCTTTACAGCTGCTCGATGAAGTTCTTCACCATCCCACGTCGTCAGCTTACTCCACTATGCAATAAATGTTTTCAGTTCAGGTGATACAGTTGTTTTGCTGTAAGCAACAGCTTTTGCTTTTTTGCTAATGCATTATTGTGTTTAAACGTAAGATGCGCTCTATTCGGAGAACTCTCTTCAAACGTTTTTTCTCCGTTTTTAGAAAAATTATTTTATGAAAAAGCAGCTTTTGAGCACCAGTTTTGTTACTGTTTGCGCTTCTGTGTTGCTTGAGACGTAGAAAAGGCTCAGCGTAAAGCTGATGCTTCTTTCTGTCAAGATGCTCCAGATGTAGAGCCACAAAAATTTGGAGATTGGAGCTTCGATTCCAACGATGAATCTAGAAACGTAGAATCGACTTTTACGTCTTGTTAAGTTCAGATGCAGCAGACGTCAAGGGCTTGGTCTTTGTGTCGACTACGCAGTCATATAATTTAGTACGGTGCCCTATGTTTAGCTAGACTGCACATCTCACGTGCGGACACGTGGAATTCTTCAAAATTGCTGACTCTGGGACTAAAATAACCAGGTCATTTTCAACGAACGACCGCTCAACGGAAATTATTCATTTCCCTTCGTGCAAAATTTACGGTAGTTTATGGTCATAAGTGCGCAGATTAAATGAAAGCAACAACCACTCATGCAGTTAACGACACGACTGCTTGAAGTTTAGTGCAAAAACTCACGGTCGCAACGGTAAGCTTAATGCGGCGCAACTCAAGCTTCTAATGTGGTAAATATGCATTTAACAAACCATCTCCAGTGTAGTCATAATCTAGTGCTTCAGAGCCTCAGCATTCTTGGCTTTGTTTTCATTCGTCCCACCGCCTAACTAGTTGTGAATTGACGAATTAAGCCTATGGTTGATTGATTTTGCACACACTAAAATTAATTTTGTTCAATTTTACTGTCTTACCTATGTTCATGAGAATGAAGCTTCTTTTCCTACACTGTGTGGACCGACAAAGAATGATCTTTATTATCTCCGGACTCTTTGAATTGTGATCTCTTAATCATGAACCACACTTCTGTCGCTTAGCAGCTACAGGCTTTACATCTACTCCGGCTAGTACTTCAGTTGTGAATGAAATTGATTGTGTATAACTAATGGAGAGATTTAAAAAACTCGCGGCATTTTGGTAGACAGTCCCTCTCTAGCAGCATCACGGCTGTTTAGCAGCCGCCTCTCCCCGCCAGAAAAGGAAGAGAGAGACGATTGTGAAACAGCAGATGATACTGGCAGCGAGAGGCTGTCCAATCGGGCGGCGATCTTTTTTATCGTTTTAGTGCTTTTTGGGCATTTATGTAAATGCGAAAACGTATATTGCAGCGACTCATGGTATGTGTTGAAATACGCGGTCACTAAACAAACCTTGATGCTGAAGTTTTGCCAGTGGTTCCCCTGGTGTCCGAGAAAAATGATATCCAGAGAAAAATGATATCCACTTCCACGTACGTCTGAATCCCACGTGCAGACACATGAATGTTTTGAAAAATTGCTAACTGGGAAATCAAAAAAGCCAGAAAGTTGGAACTTTGAGAGAATTCCGTTGTTCCCGAACAGTTTAGTAACTTCATTTCCTAAGTACACTTGCTCCTCACGTATGAGCACGCAAAAGTTTTGTGTGAATTCGTCATCCTTCCCTCCCCACATCCTCTTCATTGATAAATTTTTCTTTTCAGTGAAGACGCGAGGTGCCTTTGTTTGTCTAACAAATCCAAAGCGCTTTTTTGTCTTACATGTTCTCGCTTATCTGTTCGGCATAACCTTGGAGGACCCGACAAAACAAATTCACCCCCTCCTGTTCTCGCTTCAGACCACTCTCACCCTGGATTTTTTCCCACTCTAAAAGCCACGGTTTTTTATCTGAAATATTTCTATGAAGCAGCAGCTGTTGAAGTATTCCTTAAGCCCAATCTTGAAACGGATACCTAACTTTGATGTGATTCAATCCAACAACATCCTGAACTTATTAGTAGTGTAGTAAATGTACATTCCACAAGCCTTTTCCATTATCAACATAATCTGAGTTGTGCTTCAAGATCTCAATGTTCCAGGCTTTGTCTTCTCATTGGTGCTTGCCCCTCCCCAGTTAGCTGCGTAGTGATAAACTGAGCCTGTGGTTGATTGATTTGCAGATATTAAAACCGATATGTCTGGATTTGGTGTCATGTTGTTCCATGTTCGTGAGAATGGAGGCCCTCTTCCAAAACAGCATGGACTGATAGTGAGTTATCTTCGACCCTTCAGATCGTGGTCTGTTAACCATGAGCTACACTTCTGTGCATGGAAACTGCAGCCTTCAGATCTGTTCTGTTACTATTACCTGAAATTGGTTTTGCACGTAAGTAATGAAAAGAGAAATTAAGAGGGGCTGGCAGCCCTTTGATTAGATACGGTCCCTCTCTAGCAGCATCTTCAGTTGTTTACCGGCCGCCTGTTCCTTCCGGATATCCCTTCCCGCCAAGGGAGGTCTGTTAAACAACGGAAGATGGGTTTTCTTTTTTATGGTTTTTGTGAATTTTACGGAAGTGGGAAAACATATATTTATTGGAAGTGAACTCCAGAATGGTATCAGCTTTCAAGCACGTCTGGGTCTCACGTATGGAGGCATGAAGGCCTTGATGAGACGCGGATTTTTGATAAGAGGGCGATTTAAAGAATCAGAGAAGTTAGAAAGCTAAAATTTCCCAGAGAAGTTAGAAAGTTGTTCCCTTTCCATGTATGAGCTAAAAATTTCAAATTTAGCTATCTCGCACGTTTACGTCATGTATACGCTCAAATCAAATTTGGTGTTTGGCGCCGTGAAAACTTAAAAACTAGCGGGGAAACTGTAGGTGAGGTTTTGCCGGAACATTTATTGTCCATCTGGGAAAATGTATGTCTAAATCGGGTTTCGGTCCATGCCTTAGGACACATTAAAGGTATTTCCAGCGAAGCGGCAATTTTGATTACTGGACAAGGTGCGATGAAACTTTACACGGGTATTCTATTAAATTATGATAATTTATAACTATTCTGAACAGTCAAATATGGTAAGAAATCTAATAAATCGTAGTAATAAATAGTAACAAGTAATTAGAAATAGGAAAAGGAGCCCTGAATTGGAATGTTTAGGTCCATAAAGTCACATACATTCCAAATCTCGTCAGTAAGACGGTTGTGACAATTAACAGAAATTTTAAGTACAAGAATATTATGGTAATTTTAAGAGATTTTCAGGGTAAAAAGATAGTGAAAGAATAAGGGGTAAAAATAGTAGTAAAAAGTAGAATTTATAATTTGCCTACAATATTATGATATCCAGCGACGAAACAAAAAGGAAATAATAAGTGGTTATTGGTTATTGAAAACAGGGCTAATTGTTATCTGTTAAGAAAACAAGAGCTTGTATAGCGACTAATTATATATAAAAGTTGTGAAAGATTTTATAATTACATAAAATAAAATGAGAATAAAAAGTAAAATAAAACCCAGGCTGGAACGCACCGGGCGGGCCCGTGCGATCATGTGTTTTTGCAGCGGATTTGAATTACTCAGGTCATTAACTGTACGAATGGCTGTTGCTTTACACTTACCTTTTGCGGTCAGCTATTTGTGCAATTCTGAAACTGAGTGACTGGACAACATACATAACAAGCAGTGCAAGCAGTGATTTTATTTATACCACGCTTCTTCGCTAGCATAAGTTTCACAAACAGCTATTGCTGAATCACCATAAATTTTGCAAAGTAAACGTATAATTATCATTTAACAGTCGTCCTTTAAAAGTAACCTAGTTCTTCAGTGAGAAATTTTTGCATCAAGACTTTAAAGCGCTCGTACGTAAGAACCACGCACGCCTCAACGCCGAATTTAAAATACTTAAGTTGTACTTGGGCAGGGAACATTCCCTCAAAATTTCAGCCTTCCAGCTTTTCTGGTTACCGAGTT